TGGCACATCTCCTAAAATGAGGTGAAGAGATGAGTGAGAACAGTTTTTTGAGTCATGATCTGTTTTGCATTATTCATTTTTTAAGGAGTGATATTGGACTCCTTGGGCCCATGCCAGAGCAGTGGCTGCCATTTAGTTTTGGTTTCCAGCCTAGCTGTGGGGTAATTAGATTTAAACAAGAAAAAAATCGCTTATAAGTGGGGGATTATATTGCTTCAGGGGATAGTCATTAAGTCTCCTTAACTGTTAGTGTGATTACTTTAGCAAATTTCTTGAGTAAATCTTAAATCCACAAACCTGTATTTTCTGGTGACCTGGAGGGGATGGGGTGGGAAAGGAAAGTGGTCTATACTGACCAAGTGACTGACTGTGCAGATTCTGTAGTACTGTGTTATCCTCGCCTAATAGAAACTACATGATGATGATAGTGGTATGCCATTTGGTCTGGGGAGCTGAAGAAGTACAAAGTAAACTGGACCTGTAATCCCTGCTACTCAGGAGGCAGAGACAGGAGGATCTTGAATTTGACGCCAACCTGAGCAAAGTTAATGAGAACCTATCTCAAAAAAAAAAAAATTCATGCAAGAGGGTAGAGCTCTTGCCTAGCATGTGTGAGCCCTGTGTTCAATCCCTAACACTGCAAAAAAGAAAAAAAGTACAAGATAATTCTTAACATGCATGGAGTTAAATAGAACTTGAAAGTAATTGCTTAGTGTCCTTCTGTTCTTCTATACAGAAACTCCCGTTTCTAAAGGGCTCTTTCTAGTAATCGTTAGGGCCAATTTATAATTTCTTTTGCTGAAACTTTAGTCTTTTTATTTCATTATTTCATTTATAAGCCATTTCTCAGAGATTCTCAGAAAATCTTACCTGTTTCTAAAGAGATGATTTTTTTCCAGTAATCTTTATAGCCAGCTTATAATTTATTTTGCTGAAAACTTAACTATTTTGTAATTTAAAATTTACTAGATATCCTACAACCCTCCCTGTAAGTTTCACTGGGAATTTTTACACATAAACTGTTGCATAAATCATTGGAATTAGAAGTAGTCTCTCCTGAATGTCTTTACTATCAGTGATCAAACAAGGATCCACCTTCTCCTTTCTTTGTTGTGTTTTATAATTTAGTATTCATTCATTTATTCATGTGCTTTTTTTGGCTGTACTGGTTTGAACTCAGGGCCTTGTGCTTGGTAGGCAGGCGCTGTATCACTTGAGCAACACCCTCAGCCCTTTTGCTTTAGTTGTTTTTCAGGCAAGGTATCACATTTTTTACTTGGGGCCAGCCTCAGACTGAGATTCTCCTATGACTTCCCTTGTAGCTGGGATTATAGGTATTTGCTACTGTGCCTATTTTATTAATTGAGATGGAGGTCTCACTAGCTTCTTGCCAGGGCTGGTCTTGAACTGTGATTGTCCCTATCTCTTCCTCTGCCTCCCAAGTAGCTGGGATTATAGGCGCAAGCATTTGTGCCCAGCCTCTTTCCCTATGTTAAAGGGTAGTTTTCAAAAGCAAGTAAAATTATTTCTCCTGTATATAAAATGAATGCATGTGTTTTTTTCTTTGGGATTTGTTTGTTTGTTTGTTTGTTTCAGAGATACTGTGGATTGAACTCAGGATTTGAGCCGTGCTACTGGTCCTTTTGCTTTTTGTTTGTTTTTTAGAAAGGGTCTCTTGCTAACTTTGCCCAGGCTTGGTTTGAGCTAGGATCCTACTGTATCTGATTGCTGATCCATCATGCCTTGCTCGGTTTGAGGTAGATGAGGAATATTGAAATGAATGTGCAAATGGAGGCAAAACTGGCTTCTTCCTTAGTGGGGGAGAGAAGTCAGTTGAACCTCCACTAGGGGGGATTGTGATGAGTGTGTATAGACAATTATTTTTCATTGCTGTCAGTTATGTAAAACTTGCAGAGTTGCACTGTAAGACAGTGCATGGCTCCAAGACAGTGAACGGCTGGAATTCTGGAAGGGTAGCTCCACTCCAGAGACCGTGAAGTTTTCAATTGAAGCACACATTTTCCTCCACGTCCAGTATGTTCCCTACATCTCTTAATTGTGCTCCCAAAATAGTGGAAGAAAGCAAGGGCTAAAGAGTACCTGTCGGCTGTTGTGTCGTCACATTCCCAAAACTGCGCTTTAACCACTGTTAGGATGCTTTCTAAAACTTTTGATAGGATTTTTGGTGTTAATTTGAACCGTGACCTGAAGCTACTCCTAAGTCAGCTGCAGCCTCAGCTGCTTGGCTCATGGTTCAGAATTACAAATACATGTCCTCAAGTTCATGCTGTAAGTGTCTGGGCACTCATTATTGAGTACATTATTAATGTATGTTAATAATGGTGACCTTGAGGTCCGGGAGATATATGTTCACAGGTGTTGAAGTAGTAAAGATTGGTGCTATAATATCCCAATATAGAAGAAGTTGGTGAGGGGATGTCGTAAAATGTTAAAAGGGTTCCTTTGGGAAATTGGCAAGAGATGTGAAGACAAAAAGGAGACTTGGAGTGGGTATTCTTCATTACAACTCCACTTTTCTAGAGGCCTCTTTTACGTTCATTACTGTGTCTTTGTACCCTTGTGAAAAGCTTCTTTGGGGTGCCTTTAGGAAAGCATCTTTCCTGCTTCATTGAAACCTCTCCAAAGTGTGGGGTTCGGTGGAAATGTAAAGCAGCAAACTAGGGATACCACGTTTCCATGTTTGTATCTGAGGAAAGAGGAGGGGAGAACTTCCATGACCTCTTCTATGACCTCTATTTCTTCTGCTTGGCAGTTTTTAAATTGGGCTGGTTCTAAGGACAATGTTCACACTCAAACTTGGTCAGTCGTGGATGGTTCACTTCCCAGTCCTGCGTTTAATGACATCTTTTTAACTTCAGGTAAAAAACATCAGAATGAATTTCAGCTTCTGGTGAATCAGGCCAAAAAAGGATACAAGAAAATTGGTAGAATATCAAAAGGCAAAGTAATGAAAACTGATGAATCTACAGAAAAGCTGTTATCTGTATGCATGGGTAAGAGACTTATTAAAAACAGATATGATAAATTTCATTGTTTAATATGATAAAATAAAACCAAAGGAATTTACTTTGAAGTTTTTAGGGAAAAAGTATTTTTAGGTAAACTTAATGTAGTATTTGTTGAATATAAACTAGGTTTATTATTCTGGGAAAAGTGATTGGAAGAATGTCCTGAAGAAACAGTCTCTAAGGTTTATCTTTTCAGTTAATGAAAAATCATAAGTTCCTTAGATGTTTGGGCTTGAGGATATTTTCTAGGTGTAGGATTTATTGCTGGAGATCCTAAGTTATCCTGCTAAAGGAATAAGATTATTTTTGTTGTGGAACACTGGTGTTTCCTTTAGATGCAGAGTTCTACTGAGCAGTCTAGAGCTAATGCACTTCTTGTGCCCATGTGCATGGTACACTGCTTAATTTTGATCCATCCTAAAATTTGACATGAATACTGCATTTCTGTTGCCAATGCTTAGGGCCAGTGAACACAACAAAATCTGTTCTAATGGGGAGAAGTACACAAGAAAATGCTTTATCATTTTTTCCTTTATTGTAATAAAATACACATAACATGATATATATCTTTTTAATCATTCATAAATATACAATAAATAATTCATAGGCAGTGCTACCATCGTCTGTACTCATTGAGTACTACCACTGTCTATACTTAAAACCTTTTCATTATCCCCAGCCCATACTCTGCACTCACTACAGAATTCCTCTCCCTTCTCTTCTCCTGCACAGCTCTGGTAGTGTCTATTCTGCTCTCTATGTGTATTCGTTTTCCTTCTCTAGGTACCTTGTGTAAGTGTAATTGTATGGTATTTGCTTATTTCTCTAAGAATAATGTTTTCATTGTCCATCGATTGTACAAACATTAAAATTTCATTACTTTATATGACTAAATAATGCTCCATAGAAGGTATGGACCACGTTTCATTTATCCATTTGCCTGAGGTATTTCAGCCATTTTGGGCTGTTGTGAATAATATTGCTGTGAGCACTGGTTTTCAAATACTTGTTCAAGTTCCTGCTTTCACTCTTGGATATTTGCCTAGGTATGGAATTTCTGGCTCACGTGGTAGTTCCATGCTTTACTTGAGAAACCACCAGATTGTTGAGGCTGTAGGTGTGATTTGGTATGTTATTGTGGGATTTGAACTCAGGGCCTTGTGCTTGCCAGGCAGGTACTCTACCACTTGAATCACATCCCCAGTCCTTTTGCTTTAGTTATTATGCCTAGGCTGGCCTGAGCCATGATCTTCCTGTTGACACTTACTGTGTAGGTGGGATGACAGGCATGTGACTACTATGCCCTATGCCCAGCTTTTTTTTTTTTTTGGTTAAGATGGGGTCCCTTGAACTTTTTGTTTGGACTGCCTCAAGCCATGATCTTCCTGATCTCTGCCTCCTGAGTAGCTAGCATTACAGGTGTGAGCCACTGCTCCAGGCTTAATTTACAGGTTGCTTTGAGTAGCATTAACATCTTAACAATGTTGCCTTCCAGTTCACAAACATGGGATATTTTTCCACTTTATACTTGCTTTAATTTCTCTTAGCAATTTTCTAGCTTTTAGTAATACAAGGCTTTTTATCTCCTTGGCTATACTGATTCCTGAGTATTTTACTCTTTTAGGTTACTGTTGTATTTCTTACTATTTTCCTTAATTCTCCTGGTATCTTTAGTAGGTTGCTGTGGCAGGATAAGCCTCATGGTTTTTGAACAACTTGAATTTGTTCATGTAGTTCTTAAAGGATATTCTTAGACACTAGTTTAGCTCTTAAGAAATTCTCCTAGTAGTTCCCCCTAAGAGAACATTATTTGTTTATTAGCTTATTACCTTGAAGATAATTGGTTGCTTATGCTTAGGGCTCTTATTATGTATGACTATAATGTAAATACTCATAGCATGGGACTTCATAGGTGATTGCTACTATTAGATTGCTGTGTTTCAGAGAAGTGGGGAGTGTGAGAGAGAAAGACAGACACAGATTGAAAAGATGAGTTCTGTATAACATCATACATTAGTAGAACTATTTTTTTGGTGGTACTGGGAATTGAATTTAGGGCCTTGAAACTGCTAAGCAAGCATTGTACCACTTGAGCCACACCCCCAGTTCTTTTGCTTTTTGTTTGTTCTTCAAATAGGTTTTTGTGTTTTGCTACAGCAGAGTCCAGAAGCACACTGAAAAGGGGAATCCTGGGTGCTGAAGAACCTTTCACAGATCGTAGTTTTTCACTCATGTTTGCAGACACTTGGCCATGCTTATGTGCCACATTCTTGCAAACACTGTGAGGCTTCCCTGCCTCTTCATCTTTATCTGTAAGAAGAGATTTCAAAACTGAGGATGTGACAAAGGATGTACAGAAATATTATTATGTTTGATTAGTTTTCCTTTTCTATAGTAAATAAGTTTTATTTAACAGGTTCAGGAAAGTGTCTGTAGATTCACTATCATGAAATAGTGACAATTATTGTGGTTTTTTTATTTGTTGAATATTTAGTCTTTTGTTGTACTTGTCAGTGTTCCCATCTGTGATGTACACAGGTGTTCCTTAGAATTACAAGGTTTTCCAACTTTTTTTTTTTTTTTTAAATCTGGTACTGGGTATTGAACCCAGAGTCTTGTGCGTGCTAGTCAAGCACTCTTATCACTTGAGCCTCCCCTTCTGATTTAAAAGGTAATTTATTTTTAAATTAATTAATCTTAGAAAAATATAAGTGGACAGTATAATTAGGTAGCAGCATTGTAGGGTTGATTCTTGTTCTCTGGCTGTCACTAGAGTTTTGGGACCGGTGTTAGATGTACTTCTGTTTTGCTAAGTATAAATAGTAAGTGTTACAGAAGTAATAGGTATATAGAGGTTGTAGATTTTAACCTCAATTTTTCTTTTCCTTTCCCCTTTTTACATTTCTGTTTTCCTTTTTAGGACAGGAAGATGATAAAATGGAATTCTCAGGCATGACCTTGGTAACAAGTCACTTTCTGCAGTCACAGGTGGGCTCCCCAGGGCAATTGGAGCCTGAGGGACTTGATGACACTTCTAGTTGCACTGATATTCAAGAAGCAGATCTTCTGTCATCAGCATCAGATTCATGCAACAGGTAAGAAACAGGGAGTAGCTGAGTATTTTAAATTCCTAATTCCCGTGCGTGTAGACAGAAATAACTACAAGAGAGTTTTTAGGCAGGGTGCAGTTCATCTGTCTTTTTCCATTTCAGTCTCTGTTTGTTGTGGGGTCTTCTTCACAGTGACAGCAAACCAGGACCTGGGAGGGTAGTACAGTGACCAGAGTGTGGCTTTGGTTAACAGACAAAACAACTATAACAGCAAAAATTAAACTGAGTGAATAAATTATTTTTTAAAATTAGTGATTTAGTGGTAAACCATTTTGAAAAGATATTTTTAAAACATTATGTACTATAAAAAGTTGACAAAGGGTTAATTCACTTTATGCACAGACACATAACACACACACACACAAAGCCACACACCATTTATATGTTCTGGTGTTTCACTTTATATTACAGGTTGAACATCCTAAATTTGAAATCTGAAGTGCTCCAAATGCTCTAAAATGTGTCATGGCACATTATAGAGCATTTAATTCAGATTTTGGGTGTTTGGAGTAGGGGTGCTCAACCTTTAAAGGCTATACAAATATTCCAAAATCTGGAAAACTCCAAAATTGGAAATACTTCCAGTCCTATGCATTTCAGATATGGGATTCTTAACCTATAATCATAAATATTGGTCTGCTTCTACCTCGTGTTATAACTGATATTTTTAATGGGTGCAGTATTCTGTTGACTGGCCCCGTCAATGATTGTTAGATCTCTGTGTTTTCTCCAGTGCTCTGCTTAGGTACCCAGTAGTGCGATAAAGCTCTTCCATTCGTTTCTATTGAATTACTCCTTACCTTTACTATCACTTAGTTTCTGGTGGGTATGGTCATTGCCTTCTGAATGAATTATACTAATTTAAAATGCAGTCAGCAGCCATGAATTTGTGAATGTATATTGGAAAGTATGTAATATTTGACATTAATACATTTAAAAATTATTAATAATGCTCTAAGTGATACATTTTGTCAGCCCAAACCATCAAATTAAGAATTTTTTTTTACTTGAAGACCTTCTGCTTTTCTGAGGTTGCTGAGAAACAGCTTCAAATTGTATAGAATTCAGTTATCAGGTAGGGAAAAATCTTTTTACCTCCTTCTAAAAGTTTGCAGGGTCAAGAACATTGTATTTCTAGTTAACTGTGGGCAGCCTGAGTTGTTCTATACTATATTTGGACATTCCTGCAAGTCCAGTGGGCAGTGCTAATTTTTAAGCACCAATCTTCTTTGATTAGAAGGAAGAAATGGAGAATAATCGTAGACAGGGAGAGTAAGAGTTAGGTTTTAATCATAGTCCCTGAATGCTTAACTGCTTTGGAATGCCAGAGTGAATCAGGACATTTTTATGGGTTGGATGTGGGAGTGGAATTAATGAAAGGGAAAATACATGTTAGCCAAATAACTGATTATCTGGTGGCTAAAGTATGTGAAACAGGATGAGTTCAGAATCTTGGTCTCAGATTTATTGGAACCACTCAACTGTGTGAGAGGATGATTAAAAAAGGAAGATGCCGTTGCTCTTAAGTAGACTATGCCTTAGGAACTAAGGGAGCAAACAGTGGACAGTCTTTGGGTTTAGTAGAAATGGTAAAGGAGATTGGACCAAAGTGAATGTATTTTTATCACCTCATAAAGTAGCCCTGTATCCATCAGCATTCTCTTTCCATTTTCCCTTGAATCCCGTGTCCTAAGACCTACACAGCCACTAATCATCTTTGTCTATGGATTGGCATGTTGTATAAACAGGCTCAGTACAGTACATGGTCTCTCTGACTTCCTTCACATAGCATAAATGTTTTTAAAGTTCAACCAGGTTGTATCATGGCTCAATATTACATACTAGTACTCTTTTTATAGCCAAATATTCTATCTTCTAGGGGTGCATTTTAGCTTTTCATATATCACTTTAGAGACATTTGAGTTGTTTCTGATTGCAGTTTGAAGAAGGAAAACATCATTAAGTTTGCTTGCTTACTTTGGAAGCCCAGTGTCCATGGTGGTGCTCATGGATTGACAAGGCTTTCCTTGACAAAGTGGGCGGTGTCTCCTCTGTTACTCATGTCTCCAGTGTAAATAGGCAGCGATTCACACATTGTTACTATTACATATGTTAATCTTTGAATTTTTAAAATTTTATTCAGGTTCTCTTTTATACCCCTTTTTTATTTGCTCTGCCAGTCTGAGATCTTTAGGTTTGAAAGACAAGTCTTTCTTGAATAAGCCCTAGAAACTAAGGCTAAAGGGAAGTAAGAATGAAGGGGCCTTAAGCACTGGTGTTGGTTCTGTCCCAGAACAGTCCACTTTGCCATGGAGTCATGTGGACATTGTCAAGGAGTTACGTATGTGGCAAGTGGAAGCTGTGGGTAGCAGGAGAAGTAGACTGAGCTATTGGCTTTCAGTCAAATCCTACAGGATGATTTTGGATTCTGTCTGAAGTCTGTTTCCACACATCTCCATATCTCATATCTCTTGGGAAGATGAAATGTGATATAAAATGTGAGAGTCTCTGGTAAATATATGATTACTGTTAACACGTTGGTAAAAACAAATCAATTAAATTTTCTTCAGTAGTAATGAAAACATGTGACTTGTGGCTGGACATTACAGGAATGCTTTCACAGCCCTCATTGCATTGATTTTTAAGACATTTTCTTTTTTTTTAAATGTACATATGTATATGTATGTATTATGTATATTGCAATACTGGTGTTTGGACTCAGGGCCTTGCATTTGCTAGACAGGAGCTTTACCACTTGAGTCATGTCCCTCAGCCCTTTTTGCTTTAGATATTTTTCGAATACAGTCTCACATTTATGCCCCAGGCAACCTGGACTACTATTCTCCTATTTATGCTTCCTGCACATAGCTGGGATGACAGGCACACACTACCACCCCTAGCTATTGGTTGAGATGGGCTCTGCCAACTTTTTGCCCAGGCTGGCCTTGAAATTTGATCCTCCCAATCTCAGCCTACTAAGTAGCTAAGGTTACAGGCACGAGCCGCCATGCCTGACTGTTTTGTATTTTAACATCTGGAATTGTGATGTGTGTTTAGTCAGTATCTTACAATTGCTGACTGCCCTGTTGTAGTCAGGATGTACTTCTTACACTGTTGTTATTTCAGCTGGATTATGTATATTAGTTGGTCATTTTATGAGTTGTCAACAAAATAATGAAATAAAAAAGTTATTGTGTGTTAAGAAAAGCACAGAAACAACAGCAGGGTGTAAATTTGATATTTTGATGTATACTCATTATTGGATAAATAACTACAATTTTATTATTTCTTGAAAAAGCAATCAAATGTTCTATAGGACCTAGAAAAAAAGATACCAGAAGTGAATGAAGATGAAGACGTGTATGAAGATACACATTTTGGTAATGAGCTATGTGCAAAGGATTGCTTGTTTCTTACATAATCAACTAAAGGCAGGAGAAATAGCCAAGTCTTTTCAAATTGATGGAAGAAATGTCAGTGGCCATGAGTGTTCATTTGTGGCATGGGACTGTTGTTCAGGCCTCAAATGTCAGTTTTTCAGATACTTCCTTGAGCAGACATTGCCTGTCTTCTAGCCACATTTGCCATGATTGAGGAAGGCTTAAGAGTTCAGTTTGCAAAATGGGCATCAGTGCCTCAGATGAAATTTTTTGAGACAAGTGAAGTGGTTTTGAGAGTGTATACCCTGGTGTTGGTGGTGGTGCAGAGGGAAAGAGGTGGTATGGAAAAACTTGGTAGTGCAGCTGCTGAGCCAAAACATGAAGAGTCAGGAATACTTTAACCAGTTTATTTTGGCCATGTTTTTATTCCTGGACAGCAGTACTATTCAAAGCCTGTATCTCGGTTGGTCATAGTAGCTCACACTTGTAATCTCAGCCACTCAGGAGGTAGAGTCTCATGGCCTGCACAAACTTGTCCTACGAACCTAACTGGAGGCGGTGGGGAGATGCAGAAAGGACAAAAGATAAAAGACAAACATGCAGAAAGCTGGGTCAGGTGGGCTGGGTGCTTAGATGGAGACACAACAACAGCGTTTACTTCTTTTTTACTCTTTCCTTTTCCTTTACTTCTTTTCAAGTTCCTGAATAAAACCTAAAAACTGCATTAGCATAACTCTTAAAGTCTTGGTCCTTAGACTTGCACTGTCCCATGTTTCCTCTAGCTTTTCTTTAGCGTAGTTTTTTAAAGCCTAAATATAGAGTTCTCAGTGCAGAAAGCTGGGGTGGAGAAACACAATAACCGTCCACCTGCAGCGAATTTATTATATAGCATAGCGGTGGAGCAACAGTTCTGGGGGAAGGGAGGGATGGTGTGACATTGCTACTCTCTGAATGTAAGCATCTTAGGAAAAGCAGCTGTGCTGTATTTTGTCCTCGCCCCCTTCTGCGGCTGTGGCTGTGCCAACTCAGCCTGCAGATTATTGGGCATAGCTGTGCTTATGTCAAGTTCTCTTAGACTTCTCATACTCTGCTCCCCACAGTAGAGATAGGATCGTGGTTGGAGACCAGCCTAGGCAAAAAAAGTTAGCAAGACCCTATCTCAAAGAAAAAGCATGGTGGGTAGTGTGTTTCTGTAATCCCAGCTATGTGGGAAGCCATGTAGCTGTGTAGAAGGATCATAGTCTAACATCAGCCCCATCAAAAAGCATGAGACCCTATCTGGAAAATAACTAAAACAAAAAGGAGTGGGGGCATGGCTCAAGTGGTAGAGTATCTGCACAGCAAGCATGAAGCCCTGAATAAAACCCCAGTACCACCAAACGACAGCAACAATAACAACAACAACAACAACAATAAATAACCCCAAACTAAAACACTTGTCTCCATGAGCTTAAAAGAATGCTCTGGATGTGTATAAACTAAAAGTCTTAAGTGAGAGTGAAGTATGCCTTCATAGCTAAATTGACCTCATTTCTCTCTCATTGGCACATATGATAAGGCTTCCCCTTGCCACCAGCATCATCTTAGGCTTTTGAAATGCGTTGT